AGTATTACAAAGAAGCGTCATAGGCTTGCATGCATTGTTGTACCCAATTTTTTTTCAGTAGAATGGACGTATTCTGTCTAGGTAGTGTGGTATTTAAAAAAATTAATAATGTTTAGATTGGGTTTTAGTTTAACATTTATGTGATTATAATTGTGAGGAACATTTAAGATAGACTATTATAAGGTTACGTTATTCAGATTTATTTGGGTTTTGGCGGGTGTGAGTAAGTGATCTTTTGAGAAGAGACTTAATTTATTTGTACATGGCAATCAATAACCAGTCTGATTCCTTATGATTATATTTATTACTTAAAGTTTTGAGAGTGCTCTCTGTTTATAAATAACTCCAGGTAACTCTAAACAGCTGTAAACCTTTGTAAGTGTGATCTGGAGATTTTAAATTATAATGATATTCACTAGATCCAACTACTTTGTTCTATATTACCAATAAGTGACTTTCAACTAGGTAACTGCTTCCTTGTAAGATTCATCTACATTGGGAAAGGCTTTGTATGAGTATGTGAGGCATCTCCTCTTACCTGTCCTTTGTAGTAAAATAATTTAGATACACAGGCTAGGTCACTCCTGTCATGCACAACTGCTTTAAAAAATTGACCAAAAATTCCTCACAATCTTTCACCAGGATTAAATACAGGTAAACATATTTTCTGGGAGTTTTGGCAAAGACATATTATTTGTTGGAGCTGATGATTAATGCTAGTTTACACTTTTTACTTTATTCAATGGCTGACTTTTACAAGAAAGAAATCTTTTCCTCTAATTATATTCTGAATAATTATGAGATCTACTTCGTCTCATTCTACACAGTTACTAATAATCTCCTTAATATTTGTTGAATTTAATTTGTATGAATTCTATATCTATACCTAAAGCATCTAAATACAATTTGCAAATTCATCAGTATTCACAGTTTCTTGATTCATTAATTCAAACATTTATTGTGTGCTTTTGTTATATGCCCCTTTCTAGCTTGCACAGAGATGCTTTCTTTGCTCTATATTCCATATGTCTTGTCTTCTACATTTAATTTCCCTCATTTTTCAGCCATGATGCAATGTATTATCATTCAACTTAATAACACTGTTTATGTACTAAAATTATGCACTTTATAAAGGTAAATGTTCAACTTACCTTTTAAAATAATTCTAGCTACTTTGAGTTAGCAATTACATGTATAATACAAATTTTTAAATAAGTATCACTTAATTACCAAACTTGGCTCCTCAATATTAATTTATACAAGAAATTAATAAATCATTGCAGAATTTTTTTGCCATAGCAAAATTAATATACACATTATTAATTAGCTCACATGGCTTATCAATTCACATTACACTGATATAATATCTTGGCCAAAAATTGTGTTATCAAATCATATTATACAAATTATAAACCTTGCCAGAATTTGGCATAGCAAAATTAATATTATACACAATATAATCTGTATCCACAATTTCTTTTCTATTACAATTACACTGATATAAATCTTGGCCAGAGCTTGTTTATCAAATTAGTATTATACAAAAGTATTAAACTTTGCCAGACTTGAGCTTAGCTTTCAAAAATTAATATTGTAATTATTTTAATCCAACTACACATTAAGTACAATCTGTGAACTTAACATCACCTCCTTCTGACAATTTCACATATAATTATTAAGTAATTAACTAATTAATGACTTTCACTAATTACTCCTAGTTCAAAGAAGGACCAATGTGAAAATTAATGTGGAAAATTCATTTATCTGATGTAAACTCATTATATACATAACAGAAATGATAACAAGATAATTATGATTTATCAGCACGTTACATAGGCAAGTAGAAATTGGGACCACCTAGGTCGCAAAAATGTCCCCCCCTTCGATACCATACTACTGTCATAACCACAAGTTGTTGGGACTATTAATTAAAGTGAAATATACATTACACCAGGAATTACTGGTAAATTATAAATTTGTGGAACTGTATATTAAAAAATAATAAATGGTTATATATATACACAATTACATAACATGAAGGAAAATATTTCTTAATATCACTCACTCATTTGACTGGATATTAAGTTGATATCATACTCAGAAAAACCTCACTAAACTAAATTTATGTAAAACACTGGCCAGAATTATTTCACAAATTAGTGACGCTTTCTGAGATTCCTGGAGCTGTCTTGTCCAGGTCGTCTGGTATCCCCAAGTTATGCAGGGAATGCATGTCCAACAATTTTGTCTCCTTTTGACTGAGGTTGTCAACCCCAATTTTCCTCTAGAGCACGAAAATTCTTACATTTACACTATTATTAATTTAATAATGGGGGAGAAGCGCTAAACGGAGGATTTTACAGAGACTGGGGGGGGGGAGTGGACGGCATTCAGGCTTAATTTCCGGGGGGAACTGGAGACACATCAGATCAATTCCCTAAATCAAGAGCCCCTCACAAACATCAAGGAACCATTCATGAGGGGGTTCACAGTACACAAAGTTTATTAGCTCATTCAAAAACCAAATGGCGATGTCTTCTGCGCAGGCACAGGGCTCAGTTTCCCATTTTCCATAACATAATTTTTATTAAATACAATATAGGCCATATATTTACCTATAAATTACCGTATTTCCGGAAAATATATACAGTATTTTGCACACAGGCCTCACTGACATCGATGACATACTACTATATCTACTATAGTAGAAAGCCCTTGTTGATGCAGATTATAATATTCATGGGGAGCGTTAAACCATAGGACTATACAGTGCCTGTGGGGAGGGGATAGAAAGTATTCAGATTCAGTTCAAGGAACTGAAGCACAGACCCAATTCCCTAGATCAAGAGCCCCTCGCCAGCATCAAGGAACCTTGAGGGGCTTGTTATGTAGAGTAGAGCATTTCGGGCTAATTAGGTCAATTTTGTCCCAGGATGCGACCTGACTGAGCATCTACACACCAGTATACTAACTACCAGACCACTTGTCGGTTTAGCGCTTTCTTTGATTATAATTAATAATATAATAGTATATACCCATGGTGGCCAGGTGGCTCAAAAGCTCCCGCTTCACACACGGAGGGCCCGGGTTCGATTCCCGGCGGGTGGAAACATTTCGACACGTTTCCTTACACCTATTGTCCTGTTCACCTAGCAGCAAATAGTACATGGTCGGTTAGTCGAATGGTGTGAGTCGCATCCTGGGGGGGACAGATTAAGGACCCCAATGGAAATAAGTTAGACAGTCCTCGATGACGCACTGACTTTCTTGGGTTATCCTGGGTGGCTAACCCCCCGGGGTTAAAAATCCGAACGAAATCTTATCTTATCTTATCTTACTCATTTTTACTGGTGGGTGAACATAGACTACAGGTGTAAGGAAACACGTCCAGTGTTATCACTCTCGCCGGGAACCGAATCCGAACCCCTCAGCTTATGAAGCGAGAGCTTTGACACCAGGCCACGAAAATGTATTCTTATTCTTCTATTTCCGAAGAGAACTCCTGTAATCTTTCAAATAAGTAGTTATAAGTTTACTTTAAGGTTGCCCGAAATGCTCTAAATATCACCTCCGAATCAAATATAAAAGACACCAGTGCAACACAAGGACCCTTATGGAAATAAGATCAATTTTGACATATTTTTGTGGCTATCCTAAATAATTTACACTGCTTGATTATTGTACTTATGTGTTACCTGCTGTACCTAAATAAATTTAATTACTTTACTCTTGCAAATCATATTGTATCGTTTATATGATAATTCTACGTATCTGTATATGAATAGAAACTTGATCAACTTGTCATGTACAGCTACCACTTATACATTTTATTTTACCGTTGAGGGTTTGATCACCATTAGGGTCCCTGGAGACCAGGAGGCATTCAGGACGGCCTCAGGACGGCTCAGGACGGCCATCACTTGTCGGTGGCTCTACAACCTAATAATAAAATATGGCGTCTGGGCCACTAGTGCAGTACAACGCAACGTTTCACACGGATATTTTAAACATGATTCCTACATTTTATTGACAAGTGAGCTATATTTATAGATATCTTGCCTTCCCTGTAGTTAACCTTTTATTGTCCAGTAGTGGTTTTATGTTCACTTAAGTAGTACAGTCAGGTACCTGAGTGTTGCCTGACTGGGTGTGGGTCGCAGCTCCTGGAGACAAAATCTTATTTGCTCGAAATGCCTCAGCATAACAAGAAGACTTTTATATAGCGGTCAATGAGGGTCAAGCCTATGGGACTGTATAAATTGTATCATGTACTTGTAGAAATTTTTATTATAATTGTTGCGAGTTTGCACAGAGGCTCTGTGTGTTGCCTCTGGGAACCACAGGCATAAAACTTATAAATAAAAAGAATCTGTGACTCAAGTTACTCCAAAATTAAGCCTGAATGACTTCCACATCCCCCCCCCAGGCGCTGTATAATTCCTAAGGGGTTTTTAGCGCATTACCCCCCTTGGATTGTAATAATATAATTATAAATAAAAATTAATCTATCGAGGGAGTTCCATGTGCTGGTGAGGGGCTCTAGTTTATGAAATTGGTATCAGAACTCCAATTCCTGTAACTGAGGCTGAATGTTTTCCCTTTCTCCCAGGAGCTGTATGACCCAAGGGGTTTAGCGTTCCTCCCTTAAAAACAATAACACTAATACTGAAAATTAAGTCTTTCAACACTGCAGTTAAAGCAAGACAGGCTTACTTAACCTAGGAGGGAAAATTGCAAGATAATGCAGTGCATTTGTTTCCATTCTGTTGATATTTTTATGCTATTTCATTTCTTGCCTAACTACATAATGTATTCATCAGACATGACCCAATTAAAAGCCTTATTATATGCATTTCCCTTTGTGGGTTTAGCACTTAGGTTTGATTGTAATAATAATAATTATTATTTGCAATTATATACATGTATATAATGCTGTACTATAATGAGTGCAAACAAGCACAGGCTACACAGTGTATATTTTGGTTTTGCAGGATCACACAGTAATGCAGCTGGGAGTTGGAACCAATGCAAAATGGCAGATTGTGGGAGCAGCATGCATAACACGACCTCCAATTGTCTGCCCTCCAATGAAACCTATTGAGCAACAATATTCTGAGGTATGGAGATCTATGTTCATTATATATTTGAAATTGTTAAGAATTGTAGAGATAGCACTCTATAAACTTAATTATATGTACTAGGGTAATAAATATTGTACTGAAAGTAATTGCTTTGACAAACTTTTAATAATGATTAAATTAGGAGTACTGCATGCAAATATATGTTGTTATAAAAATCTTGTTTGTTTGTTTGGTTTGTATATACAGTGGAACCTCAGTTTTCGTGGCTAATCCATTAGAAAAGTCTGACGAAAACCGAATCGTTATGAAAACTGAAGCAATATTTCCCATAAGAAGTAATTTTAAATCCTGTTGCAACGTTTTTCTTTGCCCCCAAAAGGAAAAAACAAAAATTTCTCCTTTTACATTTAGTGACATATACAGGAAAAGGGGTTACTAGCCCCCTTGCTCCTGGGATTTTAGGCACCCCTTACATGCTTACGGAGGGAAGGGAAATTTTGTTCCACTTCCCCATGGAGGCAAGAGGAAATAAACAAGAACAAGAACTGGAAAGAAAAATAGAAAAAAACCCAGAGAGGTGTGTATATATATACCTATACGTACATGTATGTGTAGTGTGACTAAGTGTAAGTAGAAGTAGCAAGATGTACCTGAAATCTTGCATGTGTATGAGACAGAAAAAAAAAGACACCAGCATCCTACCATCGTGTAAAACAATTACAGGCTTCCGTTTTACACTCACTTGGCAGGATGGTAGTACCTCCCTGGGCAGTTGCTGTTCTACCAACCTACTACTTAGGAGTCACTGGACTCATCGCACAAAAAATCTGTCCAGAGAGGTCTGTTTCTGGTGTCTCTTTAAGATTTGCCTAATATGGGACAAGGCATTGTCATTGAATATGTTGTAGACATGGCTTGCAGCAGCTTGTTAGGGTGATATTTTCTCCACAAAACTTTGCAACTCATTCCACTTTGCACACGTCCTTAACTCTTTTGGGGGCGACAGACCCCTCCGAGACTCGTTCTCAGGGTCGGCCAAATTAAAAAAAAAATTCTCTTATGAAAAGAAGTAATCTTTTCCCGATCATCAATGGCACCCAAAAGTTTGAAATTTGATGGAAAGCTTTCGGAATTATGCTCTCGCGAAGTTAGCGGTCTCGGCGTTGTTTACGCATCGGCGATTTTGCCCAATTTTAGTCCCATTTTTGGCCAATTCCCCTGTACTAGTCGACAAAAAAAAATGGATATTTCGCTAGAACTCCATTTTTTCTATCGAATGATGCAAGAAACCACCCAATTATCAATTTAACTATGCAGTACGTGGTCAGATTTTAGCAATTTTGCCAAATTTCACACAAATTTCAAAAGATGCCAATTCCG